GCAATAAAATGCTATTATCCTCACTGTCGTTCAGCAATTTTGTTTATTTTAATTAAAATTCCTTTTGCAGACAAAACTGAATACTTAATGTGCATTTTGCAGGCATGGTTTAGTGGTGGACTTGGCAGTGATGGGTTTGGACTCAATGGTTTGGATAGTGTTGGACTCAATGATCTCAGAGGTCTTTTGTGACCTAAAAGATTCTATGGCTCATTTCTTAACCTCAGATAAGGGAAGAAGACAATGGAAGGCAAAAGACTAGCAGAATCCAGACCCAGGCAAGAGTTTTACAACCCTGGTAGAGCAAATGGAGACTTGGTGTCTAAGCAAACTGCAGCGAATCTGCATGCTGAGTGGAGAATTTTCCACTTTGCCAGCAAAAAATGTGAAACAGAGAATCCTGCCTTATACTTGGGATTTCACTGCCTGAGTCAAAGACACATGGAAGAGCTCCCATCCTCTTTGGATCCAGAGTTTGCATTTATTTTATAAGGAGAGGAGTCATATCCAGTTATTTAACAAAATATTTTGGGCTCAGGATGATCTTGCAAAGGACCCCCATGTAGGTCGAGGAATGACTGGAGCACAGAAAGGGGTTTAGGTGTAAGGAAGACATTGAGCAACCTGATACAGTGAGTACTGAGGAATTTTAGGGGTCTGTGGAACTCAAATATCTAAATAACTGCTTAAACCAATTGAAACCGCATATGAACCCAAAAAGCTTAAAGTCCCTTTGGATTTTAAACTCCCCTAAACTTGACAGCTGAACATGTGTGCTGTGGCTTAGGAGATGGGAACCTGGTTCTAAATGTGGACTTGTATTTCCAGTACTTCACTCCAGGCTGGTAACTTCCCACCGTGATTCATTTTGTGTTTTGTTTTAATTTTTTCCTTAAATTCTCTTTTTTTCCCCCTGTCCCTATTAATGAATCTCTACAGAAATTTAAAAAAAAAAACAAACAAAACAAAACAGTTTCTTCTTTTAATGCAAATCAACCAAGAGATTTGAATGGATTGCTGCTTTTGATGGTAGGCTAGGTAGTTGTAAGGATCAGTTGCTAAACTCTCTAATGAGATAAAGGGGGGGTTATATATTTACATATTAGGAAAGATTTCTTCACTGGAAGGTTGATCAGGCACTGAAACAGGCTGCCCAGGGAAATGGCAGAATTACAAACACTGTAAGAGTTCAAAAGGTGTGTGGATGTGACACTTGGGATCATGGTTTCATGGTGAACACAGTGGTGCTGGGTTAACAGTTGGACTCAATGATCTTAGAGATCTTTTCCAACCTAAATATTTCTTATATATATATATATATATATACATTACAGAGAGAAGAGCTATTGTACCCATTTCAGGTTTGTTTGGAGCCTTCTCTGAGTTGTTTCTTTATTAAGCAGTGACTCAAACGGTGGTAGGAGTAAGTGACATGCACTCGATGGGCAAAACATTTATCTTAGGACTACATACTTTCAACTAGATTCACTGTATTTCTAAAATACCCAATGCGGGATTGAACACAGAGCACAAAGCAGAGTGGGAGTGTGTTATTTAGGAGGAAATTGTCAAGCTATTTGCTGCTGCCATATTGATGAGGCTTCTTGGACAGGTAACATTAGGATAGCATGATAGAAAATGAAAACTCTCTTATCCGATGCTTGGGGAACTAGGTGTGAAATTCCTAAGAACCCATCCAGAGGAAAGCAAAAGGCTGCTGCCAGGAAGCAGGTGTTGCACCTAGTTCTTAAACTATGTAGCAGATTTGTAAGGTCATGGGCATTATTAGGAGGTGGTGGAAAGCTGTGTGCTTTTGATTCCCCTTATCAAAAGGGATTTGGGTTTATTGCAGAAGTTCTGACAGCTCAGTGGTATTCCCTGCCTTATTGTGCCTACTGCAAAAGGTCAGTCCATTCTAGTTCAGGCAAAGGCTTTGTAGCCAGAGTCCTCCTGACAATAAACTATAAATGTTTTGTCTATCAGAAGGCGATGATAGCTTGGTATTGCATAGTTTTCCTGTGCTACTGGAAATCTTTTTTTATATAGACTCCTCTGTCTCCAGGATTTATCAGCCTGGCAGCAATTATAAACAACACCCCATGGATTTGGGACTTCCTCTGAATATTTTCAGAGAAATGTTAAGATGTATTGGGTTTTCTTGTTGAAGAGTCACAGCTCATTATTCTGAGCCTGTGAGAAAAAAAGTGGCCATGGATTTAAAACTGAAATCTCCCTCTACCATTAAAAGTGAAGGATGTTCCCCCAGGGGTGACCCCATGGAATGGACACCCATCTCAGCAGGGCTGCTGCATGCAGCTCTCTAGCAGAGAAGTGCCCACATTCTCTGCTGGAGAGAAGCCTGGGACACTGGAGAGAGGACCCTCACACCCATCATTTCTGCCCACCCAACTTCTTCACTGACTTTTCTTTGGCAGCAATAGGGAGGGGGGAATCTTCAATTTCCATAGCCTTAGTCTATTTACATATGCAAGACTGAAGGCTGTAAATATGGAGTCTGTTAATTGAACTAGTGCTGCAGCTTTGTTTAGACACTGTCATCAGTGTATCAGTAGCTCTAGCAGCTAATGAAAGGATATTTGCATTGTGTGGGAGTGAGAAATTCCAGCTGTTAATATCCTGGAGCCTGTGGAAAATACTCACACGGTTCAAATGGTGTTCTCCAAGGGGCTTGAGGAGAGAGTGGGAAGTGTGCAGAGTTGCCACCTGAGGTGACAATGTCATGGAACCGGTGTACCATAATGATGATTGCATTATGCAACAGGCTTAAAATACTCTAACAAAAGCCATTACTAGGTAAAATCATGCCAGTGTTAAGTGCTTTGCTAGCACCACAGCATCAAATGCATGAAATTCATGATACTCCAAAGCGGTGAACAGGCTCAGGTGTTGATCTTGGTTGTGGAGAAGAGCTGAAGAGCAAGGTTATATTCACACTCATTGCCCTAACCAGTGACGTAGGAGAGGAGATGGGGATTAATGCTCCCTTCTGCTTAGTTGCAACTCTCTGCATATGGGTTCATTGACACATGGTGCTGGACTATCAAGAGGAGGATACCCTGTTCTCACTTCCATCTTAATTCCTTAAATTTCTAGGAGTCATGGATCTAACTCCTTTCTGAGTTAGAAGGGAGTTGAGCCTAAGTCCCCATGTGTCTCGAATCAATGTCTTAAATGAAAGGCCACCGTGTTAAAGGCTGCAGAAGAATTTCTGTGTCTTTCAGGAGTTAGCCTGGGACTGTGAAGCTCAAACAAGCAGAAGTTAACATTCCTGGAGCCCTCCTCCAGTGCTAAAGTTTGGGATTGGGAAAGGATTTTGGAGACCACTTACATTGTTCATATTTTCTGTGGGATCACTCTGGCAGCTCCATAGTGTACTGGTAGGGGACCTGGATGTCTTGAGGAGTCTTTTGAATCACATTTTACACATATGGCCTTGTGTTATGCCTATGTAGGCTGTTGCTGGAAGGGGTAATCCAGTGCTTCCTTTGCCTCAGTCCCAGATTCCAGCTCATCGCTTTTTGCCTCAAATCTCACTCCTGTACAACCGCAGGCAAACCAGCACAGCTTGCTAACCTGATGTCAGGAGGTTTCTGGGGAATGTGTGAAAAGAGTAGTTTTCAAGAAATGAGCCTGGGTAGACTTGAAATGAAGTAGCACTTGTTGCTAGATCAAAAAATCCAAAATAATATGGTGGGAACACCTCGCTGCAGGCAGCCAGAATTACAGAGAAATTCAGGACTGACCTTTCTGGCGGTGTCCTACTGTGGTGCTGGATGAGAAGCGGCAGCAAATGCCGGCCCCAGCAGTGCCCTTTGCGCACTAGCTTCAAGTGGTGCCAAAGTTGGAGCATGGAGCACATAAATGCAAGCACAGTCCAGTCATGGCCATGCAGTTTCTGACCGTATAAAGTGCAAATTTTCCCATGTGTGATGGTAAGTGTCTTCAATTCATCTTGCAGGGAGTATTTTCAAGATCTGGCTCTGATATACTGGAGGGCTTTCTGCTGCATCTAAAGGGCATGATTTCAATGAACTGGATGTTGGTGAGTGTGCTTATGGATTTCTAAGAATTCCTTCCCCGTGTTTGTGGAGAATGATTATTCTTCTGTCTCTTCTTAAATTCCATTTTTCTTTCCATCTGTTTCTGGTTTTAGTTTAGACAAAATAATACAATTTTTTTTGCTTAACACTTTTCTCGAAAGGTAGAAAATAAAATGCTCCAGTCCTTCATAAATGATTTTTTTCTGCTGTCCTTCCCCCAGCCCATTCAGTTGTGAGTGGAATGGCATATGTTGTCAGATACCCAGCAAAAGGAGAAGTACATAACCCAGAACCTAATAAAACAACAAATCCAGTGTGCCCTCCTGGTCTGCAATCCTTCAACAGGCTCCCTTCATTAAACATAAAGCCATGTGTTTCTTAAAACAGATCACATCCCTGGTGCCACAGTGTGGTATGTGTTGCTCTCACTGTATTTCATGAGGGTTTTTTAATTTATAGCAGCACTGTTTTTATTCTTACAAGGATTTTTGAAGAAGCACCCCTGCCTCCAAAAAAAAACAAAAGGGGGGGGGGGGGCAATACTGATATCTGTGAAAGCTGTAAACTATTTAAAATTGATCTAAGCAGCCGTGCTTGCCACTGACCTTGACAGCTCAGCTTTATTTCTGGCAGTGTCCACAGCTATGCCTTACTTCTTCAGGCATTTTAGTTGCCCAGATAAAAATCCCAGTTAAGTCTGGTGGCTCTGTGGTGTTGTTCTGGATTTACACTGCCTCACCCATGAACAGAATTTAGCTGTGTGCTTCCTGCATGTTCCTGCTGCCCAGACTGTGTTTCCATGACACAAGCAGTGATGGAGCACCCAGGAGGACTGACGAGTCACAGAAACCTTCTATTTGCATTCTGCCAGCTTGCTGCAGCCCCAGTGCTTCAGATTCACTGCTGTTTTAAAGCGAAGGCTAAGGAGGTTATGGCCATGTGCCTTTAGCTGGCATTCAGGCTTTGGGTAACTAATAGCACTGGTGAGTAGAGGACACCAATGGAGTTTCTTTATATTTGATTAAAGACTGAATTGTTGCAAGCGGGGGGAGAAAACTGAGCTCTCTTGTAGAACAGGTTTGTACCTTGCCATTGGGATATTTTTAACAACATAAAAAGCTCTTTAGAAACAAGTGTGATGGATTATATGTACTAAAATTGCTTTTTTTTAATTTTATTTTAAGGTAAAAACACCATATACAGCTGCACATGTAATTCAGGGAGGGATGGGAGGTAAAATACATTGTACTGCATTAGAAATGTTGCTTTTCATTTACAAGCACATGAGAATGGCTTTTTACTAACTGAACTCTATCTGGTTTTCTATGTACAGCTCTCCTAATAGTATCTCAGTAGGCCAAAATTTCTGCTGAATTAAATGATGGCAGTCAGATTGCTTCAAATGATGTCTTGGTCTTTCGCACAAATGGAACATTTGTCGCACTGTTACAAAAATATCTGGAGTGTTTATTAATCTAATAAATTTTTGAATGAGGAAACCCCCACATAAATGAAAAGAGTTGCTAATTAACCACAGAGCTGAAAAGTTAAAGTAGTTACTGCAGACCAAGGCTCAGTTATGCTGACATGAGCGTGAAGTAATTTTACTGAAGTCTGTGCTGTTACCTCAGATTTTCCTCTCTGTCTACAATCAGAATTTGGTTCAGTCTGCCTAATTATCTTTTATCTGGGCTTAGTTTCAGCTCAGTGACACTTCTCCACCTTGCAACCAATCCTTTGGCTTTTGTGAAAGTCTTTTTTGTTAAGAATAGTGCCATTTTGGTTTCCATTTAAAAAGAATTAAAGATCCAATTATGCAAATTAATTTTAAAAGCTTTATCGCCAGACTTCTGGGAGAAAGGTTGTTGCACAAAGCTTGCAACAGACTTAAAACAAGGGGTCTTTGGCTTTGAAATGCATCCTGGCTTGACACCAGCCTCTGCCTCCTGTCATGCAGCTGGCAGCTGAGTGGGAGACTTTGGGCACTTCAGGGACCTGACCTGGAGGGTCTGCCACACCAAAGCAGGGCACCCCTATTCTGCGGGGAAAAAAAGACTGGGCTTGATTCATGACAGTGGAGTGGAGAGTGATAGAGGAAGGCAGAGGGATGTATTGGGGTGTGATACAGGAGCCCCCAGAGCCCCCAGGCACATGGGGGTGACTGCTGAGCTGTATGTTTCGGCTGTGAGACTCGGAGGTTGAACCTCTGCCCTCTTCTCCTGAGGATTTAAGAAGAGCCACTGAGACGAAGCAATTACTTTGGAACAGAACAGGGTGGAATTTAGCTCAGGAAAAGCATATTCAATCACAAGCCTAAGTTATTTAGGCTTTAGAAATTATCTACTGCAAATATTAGGGCAAGACAGGGAAGAGCAGGAACAAGCTAAAATAATATTTGCAAGTACCCTGTGCTCGTTGTGATGAACAGGGTTACCTACCCTTCTGTCTGACAGGGGAAAATGTTCACGTGGAAATGCAAAGCTCAGAAACTGGCTGGAAAGAAAGCACGGGAGATGTGAAAGAAGTTCTACCCTTCTTTATGCCCCCCTTGTGTGTATCCGGCTTCTTCCTAACAGTACGTAAAAGCTGCTTAAATAGCAGTAGAGTTGCTTCTCACTTGTTCTAGCAGGGTGTGGAAAATCATAGGTTACAGAGAACAAACAGACATTGGCATTAAGCGTCCATATCGTGGAAACTACAAAAATATCACCACGCTGCTGCTGAAGCAAGGAAACCAAAGGTGGGCAGGCCCAGCTGTGGTGGCACACTAGGGATGTGTGGCCCCTTGCAGAGCCTCAGAGGAGCTGGTGGGCCTCCCTGGGCTGAGCATGCAAATGAGCTTACTCGGAGAGAGTTGAGCTGCAAAACTCCAAGTGGGAATGAAACTTTGGGGAGTTCAAGTGTGTTCTATACTTAGCCTGGGAGAGAGAGGCGAGGGGTGCGATGCCTCTGTGGTGCCAGGAACAGGAGTGGCATCAACCAAAATATGTTCTTTATATCTGCAGAAAGGCTTTGCTGCACTGTGTCCCTCTGTGATCTCAGCAGTCAACAGGGGGCTCACTGTCTCGCGTTTGGTGTCCCTATCACACAATCATCAGGCAACTATTGCTTAGCTTTTGGAAACAAGCCTGAGCTGCTCAGGGTGATGGTTACCTGCAGCAATTCAATAAAGGACCAATGTGTTGAGCTGCACAAGGGTGGGGATCCTGGGAGTGATCCTGGCCCGTGTGACAAGGACCACGCTGGCAAAGTCTTCACTGCTCTCCCCACCTGCACATTAACAAGCCAATGGTCAGCAAGTGCTAAAGGAAGACTGACTTACAGAGAGGTCTATAAAAAAAAAAAGACTTGTGCAATTGTTCTGTTCACAGAAATTTTCCCTTTTAGGATAAATTAAAAGGTAAAAAAAGCAACAGGATTTGACAAATTTGCTCCTGATGAGAACACTGCACTGGAAATGCTTCTCAAAAATGGGATAGCTCTTACTCTTCCTTCTCTGGATGTTGAGTGGGGTAAACCTATGGAGTTGCTCTGGTTATTTTATATAGACGTGAGTGAGAAGATGCTGAGGTCACTACGATATTATGTGTGTTTGAGGTAAGCTAAAGATTTTAGAATGGAAAGTCCCTCCCCTTCAGTTTTGCCTTTTTGATTCTGTCAATTGCTATAAAGGACTGCAAAGAAAAGAAGAAAAATAGGTATTTACATGGACCTGTGACACTCAGCAGAAAAGATTTAGCAGCATTTTCAGAAAGAATGACAATGTCATATCAATATGTTGTCTTACATAACTAGCATGCTCTGCAGACCACTGTTGCAATAGACAACTACAACTGTTGTAGTAATTGTCCTCAAGACCCTACAGCATAAGACAATGTCATAATGTTTGAACGAGAAGGTGCTCAGGAACACCCCTGCTGGGATCACTGAATGCAATACTCCAAGGGAAAACCCATCCAGCCATGGTGCTGCCGGAAGGTTTGGGGTAGAACTAGTATGGACATTTTTTAATTGTTTCTCCTCCTTTCGAAAAGGAAAAGAGGAGCTTGAAGAAAGTGAAGGATGTTGTGGGGAGAATAGAAAGCTTTACATGAATAATTTTCCTTCATCAGTCTAGTGCCAATGCCACAGAGGCTGTTGCCTCAATGAACATCCCCACTGGATCCCTGATAAAGCTGTTTAATATATTCAGTATTCTGCTTAGCTGACTGAAGATGTGATAGGAGGGTAGGGTCTCTCATGAGCTGCAGTGTCTCCAATTGACAGCAGCTCTGCCTGGGTCTGGAGGCAGCAGTCATGACCTCAGGGGCCTAAATGCAAAGGCAGCATTACTCTATGGCTTGTGTTATTTACACTCCTGAAGATGTTAACTGTCTTTCCAGTTGTTCATTCAGAGGACTCAGAAATTGGTCTGATCATAATTATATTCCAGAATGAATTAGCAATCAAGACATAAGAATTTACAGTGTTACAAGGTAAATGAAAAAGTCTCTTATTTGCAAATCCCTGCTCCTGTTGGTCAAGCTCATGCAGAATTCCCTTTACAGCTGGTGGCAAGTGGCTCCCAATGTGGTTCCAGTATCATCCAGAAGTCATGAATCAGACTCCAGTGCACTAGCCACTCCCTTGGGACAGCTTGCTAAATATTTCTTACCATGAAACAACTGAATTGCCTAAAGCAGGTATCAACACACTGTGAATTTTGGCCTGTGCAGAGCTGAAACTTCAGGCAGTGAAGAGAATATCCAAGACACTCCATGGAGATCTGGGCTTTCTCAGAATTGAGGGAGGCCAGAAACTGAAGCTAAAGAATAAGAAGAAGCCATTTGATTCATCTGAAAGTTCTTGCTCTTGTCCTTCACTGAAGTTAATGCTAAATCATGATAGCCAGAGCACCAGGCCAGTCAGGATCCATTTTGCTGAATACAAAATGAGTGAGCAGAGAGGGGAGCGTCTGGGCAAACTGAAGTGGAACACCAGAAGCCCAGAAAACGAAGAGCTGATCCAGCACAGAGGGAGTCAAGTTTCTTCTGAACATTGCTGGCACGAGCCAGTAAGGGCTTCAAACAGATGAGAGCTTTCATTCTCTTGCTTTCCTTTCGGGATATACTGTAGATGAGCAAATCGGTCATTCATCAGTGCTTCCACTTCTGGTGTTGATGGCTTTTGTTGGTTTTTTGGCGAGGTTGGGTTTTGGTTTTCTTTTTTTTTCCTTTCCTTTTGCATTTCTGCCCAAACAGCTCAACTGCTAAAACAAACTCCAGCACAGTGTGTTCAGAAGTGGTTTGAATATGCTGAAGATCAAAGGGAGATGCTGCCAAGTGTTTGATGTACACTTGTTTTTAATTCAAGGTTAAAGAAACAGCAAAAGCAAGGATGTACAGAATGGCCCCTATTGAGAATGCATCTAGGAGGTGAAGGGAGAGACATTCCTCCCTAGAACCCCATAAAAGTATGCACATATGCTTCTCCCTATTGTTAATCCCTTTTGCTGATGGGATGTGGAGGAGATTTTATGCAGTGGTGCAAAATGGAAATCTATTGCAGGAGGAAAGAGTGCTGCAATCCCAGAGGGACTCTTATGTTCAAAACAAAATACAACAATGGAGTTAATTAGCATTGCATGGTTCATAAAATCCCCTCGAGGGGATCTTTCTCTGTTCTAAATCATCACTTGTATGTGAGATGGAAAAGCTCCCACTGAGCAGGCCCCTTCCACAAACTTTTAATAGATATTACCACGGTTTTTCATCATTTGCCATTGGCTTTGAGAAAGGTAACAGCTGAGCCAGGGCTATTCAGCTGCATTAACCAGCTGCATGTTAATATAGAAATACTATCCTGCTCCTCCCTTCTGCCTGCAAACCACCCTGGCCCCCCGCAGCAAGTTAACCCCTTCCTGCCACGTATTTCTCTGCCACTGTGACACAGGCAGGGGGGATAGTACAGGTTGACAATTAAGCAAGGGAGGACCTCACTATAAATATTTGAACTTTACTTGTGTGCAGATGAAGTTACCCAAACCAGATCTTCGACCCTCTGTGTCCACACCCATTTGAAGGGACAGACCTTGCTCCAGAGGACTTACATCCCAGTGCCAGGGAGGAGGGCAAAAGGCCAAGAGGAAGGAGCTGATCCCAGGAACCTCACAGAAATTAAACCCATGCCTCCCACCTAACACACTCATTATTACTCTCAGAGCCTGTTGGCTCAAGATTCCCAGCAAGCCCAGCTATGTCCTCACTGAAATGCCCTGAACCCACACAGCACAATTTCCAGTGGGTGTGAACGTTGGAGACAGTCTGCTCTGCCCTCTCATAGCGCACTGTGCGTGAGGATCAGTGCTTCTCTGCTGGTTTGACTGGCCTCCAGTCATCCTCCCGCTCTGTTTTGTACCATGCCAAAACTGATCAGTACCTGCACATCCTTCAACCATTTGCAATCATGTTGGCCAGATGGCCAAGTCTGTGTTTCAGTGCCAGCTTGCACTCAAATGCAGTTCACTCACAACTGCAAACTGCTGGAATCAGCAGCAAAGCTCTACTGTGGACATGACTGCACTGCCTGATGGACTGCCCCAGTGCTGATCCTGCGTCTCCCTGTCTCCTAGGGAGAGCCAGGAAGCCCTGAAGAAATACTGCAATATGGCAATAGTTGCAAAAAGATATGGATAATGAATTGCTGGAGCAAGAACATGTCAGGGCACCTTGTAACTCTCAATCAAAAGCTTGGAGCTGAAGTGCTTTGTAAAGAAAGAAATCAGATTCTGGCAGGGTTTGTGCTCCCAAATTCTAATGGGTAAGAGAGGGTTGCGTCATGGATCATTCCTACTCAACTATGTTTTACTGTGATTGCCCCAGGTTAGTCAAGCCTACTGAATACTTTGGGACTGGCATGATGTCTGGTAGGACCTAACCATAAAATTCTAGTATACCGGGGGAAGCTAGGAGGTAAGCCCCTTTCTTCTTCTATTTCAGCATTGGATGTGTTTACTGCTTTCTATCTTAGCTAAGTGTATTGCCCTTCTCCCCTCACCTGGACGGGGTCTCAGGGAACTGTCTCAGTGGCTGGGCCCCAAGAGCATCTCTGCTTGCAAGCAAAGATTCCCCCGTAACATAGGAGAGAAAGATGCATGGACGGGACAGACTGTCTGTCCAGGGCAAGGGTCCTCAGTAGAAAGTGTCTGTCCCTCTTTACATTTTACTAGCATTTTAATTGAACAGTGATGAGACTGATGTGAAAAAGAAGGTGAAGAATGGTGATCTATTCAAACAAGCCATAAGCTAACAGAAACCATCTTCCTCCAGCTGTGGCTAAACTATCACCCATCCCGAACCCCCCTTCTCCTCCCCTTCCTGACTCTCACTTGACACACCACAGTGGCACATCGCCATCTTCCCCTTTCACACACTGACCGTGAGTGACCAACCTAGGGCAAGAGGAAATCGTTAAGCTCATAAGCACATCAATGCCTTGGGAATCTTCTGTTGGCTTCCCACTGCCATGCCACAACTGCTGGCACCTGCTTTTCGCCCTTTCCTTCCTCTATGCCCATTATGTTACTGCCCCACTTTTCCCACTGCAGTAACCTGCACATTTTAGCCAACCACCTCTGTCCCACCCTTGGCACACCCAGTTGGAAAGTGTCACCATGGTGACAAGTCCTTGAATGCTGGACGCCGTTTAGATTTGTTACTCTTTTACTTTGGCTGAGAGAGTGCTCTGAGATCATAACCTTGTGGTTCTCGTAGCACTGATGACATAACATTTCATGACTTTGCAGATGTACTCAAAGTTCTTTATAGTATGTCCCCAAGCATTTTATCATGGCACATGAGGAGATATTTCACAGTATTCTATTTAGGCACTGCTGCTGGCCCAGAGCCTAGGCATTTGAACAGTAAACTCCTTTTAGGACTCATGTGAATGTGCACAGAGATAGTGAGGCAAGAAACAGAGGATATAATTAACCACTAAAATTCTTCACAGTCATTGCAAAATGCCAACAGACTGTTCATCTTTACAGAGAATATAAAGTGGAATTTAAGCACAGGTCTCTGTTCCTGTTTTACCAGCCTTAATCTCAGATATCAGGGGCAGAGGCGGTTTCCTGAATCTTTCTGTGTGCTCTTTCTTCCTTCTTCAGAAATCTGTTGTAGAGTGGCTTATGATGCACAGCCTGCCCTAGTCCAGACCAGCAAAGCCTTTAGAAGGTGTGATCTGCCTTACTGAAACTCAGACTAGTTTCTAGGAACAATTTGTGAAAGTGGCTGAAATCTTAGGGACCTACTGTACAGACAACATACTGCTGTATGTTAGAGTGGAACTGCAACACATTGCAACCATCCCACAACAGGTTACATGCAGGATTCCTTGTTCCTTTTTAATGCATTTTCCCAGTTCACTGTAACCCAGATTGTTCACCCAGGGAGCTTTTCACAGCCACTCTTCCTGTGATACAGTTTCCATGGGAGGAAATATGGGGAAACCCACAGTGTAGGAAAGCCTGAAGTGACTACCTCCACTTCTGAGTTTCCTTTGTTATAGAATGTCTGGAATAAATGGCAAAAGAGAAATCTGAATCTAAAGGCCTGCATCAAGAGCTGCTAGGAACCTGTACAGGGCTAATCCCATGAAACACACCGAGATGCTAAAAGGTTCAGATAGGTGCCTAACCACTTTAAATTACTCTCAGAGGAAAGTTAAAGCTCTATTGTTTTAAATTCTTAAAACTGTCAACTGGGAAATTCCCTGTAGAAAGCAGGCCTGCATTGACTAGTCCTCCAGTGTCTTTCCCACCTTCAGCCCCTATGATTTATGTGCTCATAAATTCCTTTGTGTTCCATACTTACCTGGAAGATTCAACTATGGCTGGCATCCAGGAACACCATAGTGGAGCTGCGTTAGGCTGTTTCCTATTGTCTCTTCTCTGCCTGGATTTGGATCCAAGAGCAGATACAGACCAGATGTAACGTGTTCTCTTCAAACTGGAAGGCCACCTTTTCCCATAGGGACATCCATCCTGTTCAATTCTGCCAGGTGATGGTTGAGACATGAAATGCCCTGTCCTTGTCAGCTGCTACCAGAATGTCTTCCCTTGCTGCACCTTCCTCAGGCCCAATCCTGTTCCTGGCTTCAATCCTGCTCTATTTCATTTAAAGGTGACTGCATCAGGAGAAACAGAACCAGTCTGAAGCAGAACTGGTCTGAACTCAGAACCATTTCCCTACAACCACAGGCTTTGTGGAATATTTACTTCACATCATTTTTCAGGATGAAGTTTTATTTCAAAACAGCATATAAAGGAATTGTTTGTTAGCGTAACTCTGTTCCATGTTAGTGTACCCAAACCCCTTCTTTGCCATGTATACAGCAGTGTATTTGCATATCAGAAGATTTCACATAGCTTCTCAAGTTACTGTGCCTGCCTAACTGCTTACAATTGCCACAGCAACACTGGGGGGGGAAAGCTTTTACAAATGCTTCACCAGACAAATCACATTTTTAAGCAGAAACAGAACAATTCTCTAAAAAAGATGTTTTCCATGAGGGCAGAATCAGTACACTTAGCTACAGTACTGGAGTGTCAGATGTTTATTGAGTCAGCAAAGGAGATATAAAAAGAACTGGCAGGGTTCTGCAAATCACTTTGATTTTTAGTAGTGACTCTACTACAGTAAACAGTAAATAATGTAAATAGCAAAGGTGTTCTCATTCACAGACAAATGAAATGGGAAGTCAAAATCCTTTTTTTTTCTTTGTGATAAGAAATCTTTTGAAACCCTCTGATGCCATTTCTTGTTCCATCAGTATCACATTAACTTGATATGTTGCTGTTAAACAGCCGCACTTAAATACATCAAATGGATTAATGCTGGCATTTTATCAGGTATAGTTTCTGTTTCTGTAAGACATCTCTAGATATATAGAAACTACTTAAAATGAGAAAGGAAGTTTCTCCTCTTCACTGATTCAGAAAACTGTGAGTAACTGGCTGATATTTCTTGAACATCCCGATTAGTGGCAGGCTGGTCACAGCGATGACAGGGCAGATAAGTTAAGGGGGCTTTGAAAATCTCTCTAAGTGACACAAGTTAGCACAGCTTCGAAGTGCTCTGAGCTGTGTGACACAGCAAGCAGAGACACAATGAGGAAGAGCCTATAGACACATCCAAGCTAGTTGCAGTTTTGCCAGACATAACTCAACTGAAGCTGAGGGATGAACTCAGCGAGCTGTCTTGCACTGGCTTCACTTATCTGGTATTGCTGTATGTAAATCCTCAGGCTGAAGGAAGAGGAAGGAAAGTAGTTGCTCTCAAGAGAGAGTAATTTCATCACTGATAAAGAAAAGCACTAAAAGAAGTGAGTCACTGGGCTCCATTTACAGGGTAGTAAATAAATACAGTGCAGTCACTTGTTACTTACTGTTTTAGTACCAAAAGTAAGAATGAAAAGTCTTCTCTGTCCCAGTTCCGTTGCTGGTTTCTCCCTTGAGCATCCAGCAGTTTATCTCTGTAAGGATAAGCCACTTTACAGGTTGGCAGGTAGGATTCCCTTCCCTTCCTACTGTGCTGGGATTCATGTGATTCCTACCTTAAATATATGACTCTGTTCAAATAACCTTCAGCTCATGGGCCAGGGCCTTCCTCCCCCTGCTCTCTAGGAACATCACTAAATCACTGCCAGCCCTGGCACGAAGCCTGGCTCCAATTGTGTCATCTTGGTCTTGTGTCACAAGCCACTGGGGCCAAGGCAAGGTCAGGGGCTTTCTGATGAAACAGGAAAGGTTTCTCCAAAAGGAAAACTGAACTCAAGAAAAGGAGATCTTTCTATCTTCAGATGGATTTTCAGCACCCTGTCTCCTTGTGCAGGACAGTTAGCAATTTCCTCCCCTCTCAGCTGCTGCTGACACATGGCTGGATGGCTTCCAGCCTCCTCTGTGCACATTGTTCTGCGAGTGTTTGTCTTAGCAAAGTGCAAAGCCAGCCGCACCTTGCAATTAATAAATATATGTCAACACTCAGTGCAAGCCCAGTTATTATCATTACCCCAGAATTAGAAGGATGGCACAGCCACTGAGCCACTCGAGGGCCTGATCCTGTCAGGTGCTCAGCACTCTTCATTTCCACTGGCAGCAAGCAAAGGTGGAAGCCAGGAGGGAATTATGGGACTCGGCTATCCAAGGGGTGATTCTTTATTTAGTCTCAAATTCTAAAAGAGATTATTCCTGTCAAGAGAGAGGAGCAAAGAAAAATTAATAGCTAGGGGCCATCCCCTCGATGGCTGCAAAATAATGCCACTCACTTAACAGAAATGGATCATTGCTGATCTACATCAGCTCAGAATCTGGTGCTGGTAAACATGAAATTGATACTATAAAAGGAAATTAATAACAGTGAAAGCTAACCTAAAAGATGAATACAGATGCGAGGATTCCTATGCTGGTTACAGTGCAGCTGTGTGGGGCTTGAATTGAATTTCTAACCCATCTTGACCCTGACAGGTCAGAGAACTCCCCATTTTATGCTTGGAGCAGTGCCCCCCTGGAGCCAGGGTCACAGCGACATACCTGTGGAGGGAGGATTTGAATCCTCAGACCTGATTATGATTTGCACTAATGCCTCTTTTCACTGTAAATGCTGTGACATTTACATAACACTCTGAGCACTGGTAGAACGATATAGAAACCATGGAGGGTGATCTTGAAAGGAGGTTAGTCTCCTGAAAAGGCAGACAGGATATATTTTTGAGAAATCTCCACTCTAAAAATAGTTTTTCAGGCTAAGTCCTCAGGTCTCCTTGATTTCAAGAGTTCAGCATTACTTCTGCACCAATACTTTGCAGAATTTGTAGAAGTGCCCAACTAGTCTTCAGGTATGTTTGTAATTTCAGAAATCCTGCCACCCCTGCAAGCAGAGGGTTAGGCTGTCCAGCAGGATTTGGCTGCATCTTAAGAAACAGATGGTTCTCATCCAAGCTGCTGTGTCAGAAGGCTTGAGGATTGGGCTAGAAGGCTGGAAATGAGCAGGACCTTGACAGAGTGGTAGCCTGGAGTACTGTCAGGTGTAGTGATGCTTCCATAGGGAAAGGTGCTTGCTGCCATTTACTCTTTTCCAAATCTGTTGGTCAAAGCATCCTTGCATCATTTAGGGCAAGAGAAGAGCTGGAGTGAGTGCTGGTGCACTGACTTGAATGGAGAGCAACCTAAGAAATACACAAGGATTTCTAAATCAGCTGCCTTGAAGGAGGCCTGCTGCCAAAACCCAGCACAGCCCTGGGCCTGGCGACTGTCACTTGCATATTACAGAAGTGTCAGCTCCTCCAAGAACTGCTGTTGGTAGAGCAGTGGTTACCCCTACTTCCTCTGCCCCTTCTAATGTATATGCAGACACTGCTGTAATATCCAGGGCCATTGCTGCATGATAAACACCAAAAGAGGTGAACTGTGCCCAGTAGTGAGTTAAAGTGAAGTGTGTTTAGGTGCAGCAGGCAACGCTGAAGGGTTATACTGTGGTTAGACAGAGGGACTCTGTTGAGTCATGTACTGCTGCAATCCTTACAAAACAGTTTCTAGAGCCCAGTCCTTCCTGAGGAGCACCAGACCCCTCTGCCAGCCGTGGACCTGATGCTTTACCTCCATTCATATCTCCAGCTTGTTTAATATTGCTTTGAGAAAGTTAATGCAGGAGTTTGACTCACCATGGATAATTATTATTACTGTCATTTATCTTGATTATTGTGGAAATCAGCTCCCACATTAGACATTGTTACTTCATCTCTTCATTTTCCACTGTCACATACATAACTATCAGTGGTCCCTTCTATGTAATAATACCAAGAAATGGCTTTTCCTAGGTAAACTCACAGGGAAAAATGTCATCATGGTCCAGAACTATTTAAAGTCATGGACCCGCAGTTTCCCAGCCCCATACCACTGTTAGAAAAGGCTTCTGAGCTCCATCAAGCTAATTCAGAGGCAGTGAAAGATTCTGAATAATGTAAAATTTTGATTTCTTACGTAATCAAAGCCAATGTCTTCTGTGAAAGCCATAGAGGACTATCTTGTATTTTTATAACACCTGTTTGCATTTCAACAAAGCAACCTAAGCATGAATCGTGTGTGGTTGTGTCAGACCTCCTGAGCAAGGTTGCAGATAAGTGACTTCCTGGAGAGGCTGGGTGCTGCCATGCCCGTCTGTGTCCTTGTGCTCAGGAGAGTAGAGCCCTCACTGAGCCTTGAGGTTGTCACTGCCACCATGCATAGTGTATAGCACTGTTTAGCCCTCATCATCTACATCCTCTTACCTACAGGTTGCCCATAAACTACTGAAAAAGCAATTTTGCAATTTTCCTGCCAAATTTTTTCCCTGGAAGGTCTCTTCTTATGACATTTTACCAAAACCCACAGCCCAGACTTGTTTATGATTGAGCTGCTGCACCACCAATACCGCTTCTTGCTGCTTATAGTACCATCTATTCTTCTTTTAAACTTCTCCAGACAAAAGGCATCCCTTTTTTTTCTTCTTTTTTCTTTTATTTTCTGTTCATACATTACCTAGTGGAGTTATATTCTGTAGTAGAGTGGGTTTGGTGTGCAAGCTCTGTGCTTGCCTGTTTTTAAGAGGGAGCTTCTTTTCCATTCTGTGGTAAGGCAACAAGAGCAGCCACAGCTGTGAGTTTCAAGTCTCTATGCTAAGTTGCTTGTGGCTGAAGTTAGTTGGTTTGTTACTTGTGTCCTTTAATGTGAAGAAGGGTTTCCCCCAAAACTGTGTTGGCAGGCACAGCCAAAATTCTCCATGGTGCCTTCCTGCTTCTGGATCACCAGCAAGAAATTAGGTTCCTTCTGAAAACAGAAGGGAGGACTGCCTTACAGGGGGTGCAGAAAGCAGGTCTGCAGCAAATACTGCATGGCTGTTTTTTGATCACTACTACATCATCTGATACAGAGACAGTGTTTCTGCCTGGGAAGTGCATCCATCTCGGCACTGCTTTCTGGGACTTTCCCTGACTGCCTTGGTGTGCTCTCCTTGCATTTGGAGAACCTTTTCTGCACTGGGTCCCAGAGCCACTGGCTTTAAGACCTTGTTTGTGCATTTTGACCACAGGAGCTCATTAAATGAGCTGATTAAAGCCTAGATCCTCAAAGGTGTTTAGGCACCTAAATTGGGTTAAGCCTATTTGATCCCTGTGGGGTTATGTACCCCCATGTTTTTAAGGAGTAGTAGTGTTCTGTTTTGGGGAGAGGAGGAAGAGGGGGCAAGGAACAAGAGTTATTTTCCTGCAAAATATGTGCATAAAAGGACTGAGTAGTGGAAACAAAGAACATTAGACCCTGAATTAGAGATCTGAAGGCTATAGAACTTATGAAGAATAAATAGTGGAAGTAAAATTAATGTTTCCCACATTTCCTCCAGCTTCTCAAAATATACTCAGGCAAACCACACATTTTCCAATACTGACATGCCTTTTTCATCTTATTTGTTTCTTTTCCTCACTGCTAGTCTGCCACTGACCATCAGCCCCTTCAGGCAAGGACTATGCTCTCCTTCAGGTCTGTAAAGTGTTTGGCAGACCTGGGGCAATAAGAACACTCGTTTCAAAACCAACCAGGTAGTGCACGGATCTATGCTGTCCTGAAGCCCCACACAATAGAAAGAGCACAGTGTGTTGATTCTTTGGTATTTGTTATTGGTATTATGTGCTGGTGAGCTGGTTTCAGTTCTTTTTCCTCATGACTGCTGGGCTCCAGCTTCAGTTGTAATAGGCCCTGATGAATATCTGAATTTTAGGGGGACTGCTGTGGCTGTGCCTGGGCATGGCTCCTACCTCAGAGTTCATTTCATCATGAGGGAACCAGGCTACTTCCCAGGCACGGTCACATGTTGGAAAACCACTTTCTTTCAAGAAGGAGCTGAGCCACTGATGGTAGTGGTTTGTCCTGGGGACCCTGTTGCTGCAGCTCAGAGGGCTGGGGGTGCTGGCTGCTGAGGGATGCAGAGTGGAGTGGGGTTGTCCTCACTCACCTGTATGGCTCTCTGCAACTGCTCTGACAAAGCTCAGTGGTGAAGAGGTTGCTTATTATATATGCCTGGCAGACATAAATATGTGCCAATGCTTATCTTTTATGAAAACAAGTGAACAGAGATGTCTGCTGCTGCAGTCTCTGAGTGTGCATGAAGTCTGCAGGCAGAAACAACAGCTCCCAGCTCTCTACAAACACATTTCCTCCTTTTGCCAGGCCACATCCAGCCAAAAATGGCTTCTCACCCTTCACTGCGAGAAGGCAAGGCAGTGCCCATGGAGCCCATTGAAACAGAGCTGGAGGAAAGGCTGATTAAGACATGAGCGAGGAAGCTCTGCTCACGAGGCATTCCCTGCAAGGGTGCTGATGGGATGTCTACCCATGAACCCTGCAGCAGCCGCCGCCTTCCCCGGACCTCCAGAGACACTGGGAGAATTTCCTCTTCAGCTATTTTCGGGCAGCATCTGCGTCTCTCACCAGCCATGGATGCCACAAGGCATGGTGCCAAAATATCAGCAGCTTGGCAGCTTCTCTACATGGACTCAAGAAATATATTCTGGATTAGCTGTACCATCTGCCTCTCACAGGTGTTCATCTGGGAGGACGGGGGAGGAGAAGGGCACCTGAGGGCACCAGCATTGAACGGAAAGTGTTTTATAGGGCAATACACGTTGTAGCAGCTGCTGCTGATGGAGAAGGAATAAGGAGGAAGAACAGATACTAATTCCTACCTTGGAAAGATTAATAAAGTTTACTGCCTAGTTTCACTGAATCTCGGCAAATCTAAGTCCTTGCCCCTTGGTCTGCTGCAGGGGTCCAGGGGAGGTTCAGGGTAAGAATCTCCAGGGTTATATACTAAAGAAGGGTAAGCAAATTTCTGGACAAGTTTGGAGAAGAACTATGTGGTGTGTGCCTTGTTTTTGAGTAAGTGGAAGTTTGCACCAAGCATCCACTGGCCACGGGCTTGGAATTTTTGTCAGTTCTGGCAAAATAATCGCTCTCTCTCAGCAGACACCACAAAGGTCTCATCCTCTTTTACTTGTTCATGGTTAATCTTTAATATTTTCCTGGAAGTGGAACTCTACCGGTTCTCACAGAACTACAAAGCCACATTTATAAACAAAGATCTTATTTGCGAGAAGATGAAACCCTGATGGCAATGAATGGTTTGCTTTCCACCACGCTACAGAAACACTGTTTCCTGCCACTCCCATGAAAAGAATTTGTGGCAGCAGTCCCTGCACAGGCTGCACACCTACAGAAACCATGGGCTGCCCACGCCAGCAGCACCAGCGCCTGTCACCTGCCTCACCTCTGGGGACAGCTGCAGGTCAGCAGGAGCTGGAGTTGTTACACCTGCAAGGCTCCATATACCACCCATCAAAGAAGGGCAAATGGCCTAACTTAAAACTTTTTTTTAATCTATTGCAAGGAATGGATTCTCACTGAAGCAGGAGGTTATTTATGCTGTTTGGAGATAAGCTGTTATTAGGACAAACACTAGGTAGATCTGGCCCACATCTTGCCTGGTGCATCTTCCTGCTGTCATTCTTGCTTGGAGAAGTCATGAAAGAAATAGGGAAAGCCATCACCACTTCTTTCTCTGCCTTCTGAGCTGTTGGTCCGAAACTTCCTTTAAAACCTGCAGAAGGTGCAGGGATGCCTGAGCTTCCCACAGTGGCACCTCCACTTCCATTGTCTTCAGAACTGTTCATGGGAACAGAACAACTTCGCAGCAGCTACTCTTCAAGACATAAGGCTGTGCAAATCATGAAAGAATGGCACAGAGAGGAAGAAAAATAAACACACTCTCAGTTCCTCATCTGCAAGCTGCTGCTACATAAAAAGGCAGCACAGAGCTGGTGTAAGGAAAGAGATTGTTCTTTCATGTGGTTTCCAGATAACCACCGATAACATATAGGATTGCAGCTGACCTTGTGATACCATATTGCTGCTTATATTTTCTTTTAAAGTACAGAAAGCTGTGTTGCCTAATGCAAACAAGACTGGCAATGAAGAAACAAGCTCACAGCACCTCCGGTAGCAAGGCTGATGACTACAATATCACCTTTCAGCCACTGCTCTCCTGTTCTGTCCATCATCATCTGGATCATGTACTGTCTATCATTTGACTGTAAAATATTCCCCTTCATCATTAGACACATGGTTTCTTGATCCCCTGGACTGAACCCCTGGGCTTTCTTTTCCTTCATCTGTGGAGCTACATATAGTATGTTGCAACATTCCTGCTACCACACAGCTTCTCAGGAGATGTACAAGGCCCCTTTTTGGTGGGTCCTTACCACCACACTTCAGGCCTAATTGCAAGTTAGAGCTTCTCCATCAGTGGCACTGTGAAGAAACCAGAGCCTTGATCCAAGCAATTTTAATTGGATACTTATGGGAATAAAGACAAGTAATAAGAAAAAAAGGAAGCTTTGCTCTTTCGAACTAGACCAGGAAAACCTTGACTGAGCTCAGGAAGGCTCACAGTGTAATCTTGGTACATCAGCTATCTATATTGCATAGAGTTCCAAAAAGTTCTGGTTTTATTCAGCATGTTAAATAGCATTAGTATTTATTTCCTCATGTGAATTTTCTATTTCTATCACAACTTTTTTGTTCTCAGCCACAGAATAAAAATACACCAGATGCTAATGGCTGTTTGTTGGGTATGTAGAAAGTGGGGAAACTGAGACTCAGAAAAGGAACTGCAAAGACTTGTAGATAGAACAGAATAAAAGATATTGTCAGTTGCCTCATATGTCTCATACTGTTCATATGTCTTATGATGTGTATACAATTTAATAAAGGCATTAATATCTTTGGGCATCTTGTAATTTTTAATGCTAACTTTTCGTGTCACTTATGTTTGGGATGAAGGCAAGAGAAAGAGAGAGAGAGAGAGAGAGAGACAGAGAGCAAACATCATATTAGTCCCCGTGAAAAGTGCCAGCAAGTACTTAATACGTATCTGTGTCAAGCAGTGCAGAGGCAGAAAAATCCATACAAACATATACGGAGAGGACCTACAAAAACTTCTTGCCATTGGGAAGAGAGAGCTACCTGAAGGCTCCCATGGTCTTGCCTGCTTCGGATGCTGGAAGGGGTCCTAGTGTAATGTAGGGTAATCTGTTTCAGTCGCAGCACGGGCCTGTGCTAGCTACTGCAAGCATCCCAAGACCACACAAGGCACAGCCCTGTCAGACTTCCCAGACGTTTTTAACAATATCTTATGACCTCAGATATTTTATGGTAAGCTGTGTCTGATCTTTAGGAGCACCTGTAAGTTCAATTCCTACAGAGCTGACTTCCACAGAATTTTTATGAATATGTTTTATATAGAAGATTTGCCCTGTATTACGTTTGAATGTGTATCAGACAATAAATTGCATAGCTGCTGTGCTGGTCATTAGCAGACGTCTCCCCGGGGTTCCAGGGTAACCACATGATGTACAGACTGGTTGGGCAAGTTTCAGTCCCAGAGGGAAAAAAAAAGAAAGTGATGACACAAGGCTCAATTAATAATGAATTGGAGGACCAAAATATAATAATTGCCAGTCAACAGATGTTGTGGAAAAGAGGTCAAACAAACTGAATGTTTTATAACTATGTAGTTATTTTTACCAGCTGATATGTTTAACATACCAATCATGCCATTTTTTTTAAATTTAGCACTATACAATTTCCACAAATTATGCCTACAGTGGACTAGGAAACACACTACTAGGAGCTCAAAAAATAATAATAACTGTATGACATGATATTGAGGGGCTGCTATCAGGTTTCTGTAAGCATCAACATCAGGATTGAGGGCATCCAGCATCTTAAATTAATGCCCTGGAAATGAATATAAAATCACTGCTAATAAAATTTGCAGATGACATAAAGACAATTATGAGGACAAAGCACCCATACAAACTGACCAGGAGCTCAGCAATCCTGGATCATTCTAACTAGACCAGTTATGCAGTGAAATATAAAGTAATTCATTTAGCATCATGGAACCAAGCCAAAGTTATAGACTTCATCCTGTAAAAGAATGATCTGAAAAAGATTATAGCAGAAAGGCAATTCAACATGGACTCCAAAGGCAATTCTGTGATAAAACATGACCAGTCTTACCCTGGAACTTCTAGACTGGTGATTACTGAGTAGGACTAAGGAAGTGATTTTTCTGGGTAGAACACTGGGCCAAATTATACTGGAGTACAACATCTGGTTTTGGTGTACACAGGTTTAAAGGATTTTGGAAATAAATGCGAAAGGAGAGTTTCCTGGTTACAGGGGCTGGGATCAGTTTATCATTACATGGGTATAACCAAAACTGTGTATTCTGCACCATCCGTGTCATTTCTGATGGACTATTAATAAATGGATCGTTTGCAGCAGCTGCCCAGGGCACACCTGACACCTCAGGCTACAAACTGGGTGTTAAAGAATCGCTGTGAGGCAGGGGAGTGTTCTTTTGTTTTCACATCAATGACTCAGCTGCGATAACTCCCCTCTGGAAAGGCATTAACACCTTCACACCCAGACTGAGGGGTCATCTCTGCTAATGGGCCACCCAGGACTGGCAAAATAGGCAGCTGCAACACTCGACCGTCAAAGATTCCAAAAATATCCCATGACTCACAGAGTTAAATCACCTGTTGTGAAACTCCCCGTCCTGGAGGAGGTACTGGACATTCCCACCTGAACTTGAGCATATATAAACATCGGGGTTGGGGACTTCTGGTACCACTCATTGGATCAAGAGGAGGACCAGAACACCAACGGGACTGCGACTGCCACTCTCAACAGGATTGCCACGATCATCTGGACCAACAGGTTTTTCTTTCGTTTTACTTTGCCCCCGGGGGGGCACGTGGTGCTCAGCACAGGGACCAACAAACACTGTTCTGTTCTTGTCCCAGGGTGCTGGGTTATACATCTGTCTTTGGGGGTTAAAATCAGTTTTCTCTGTATTATTGTATTTATTGTAATCTTTTTAGTAAATTGTAACTCTGACTTGTAATCTCTCGAGTTGGGTTCATTTCTCCCGCTGGTTTACTTTTAAACCAGCACAGAGAGAAATCTATGCAGCAGGAGATGCAAGAGCTTAGTGCTTTAGCTTATTGAAAAGTGTATTGAAGGCACCGAATTATATCACAGAAGTACCTTTCTTGTAGGCAGAAAATAGAAGGGTTCCACAGCCTAGAGGAGAAGACTGTAACAAGGACTAATGACTGGAAACCAAAACCAGACAAGTTCAAATTAGAAAAGTAAGAATTTTTTTTTTTGTTTTTGGTAGTGAA